GTGTGTGTGTGTTGATTTCTGACGTATCCCTCTTTTTAGGGTCCTTCAAACAATCACCAAGATGAAAAACCAAAACAAAGGTAAGATGTAGCCTAACTGAACTGGTCTAAAGGTCAAATGTTATAAAAACACAACAAAGACTAGCTTATCTGAATGTAGGACCCAGAAGTCGAGGCGAGACAGACAGTGGGAAGTTTCAAAATGTTTATTAACAAACACAGAACGTGGAGCTGGGGATCTATCACAGGGACTCTGGTTAGGGAGAGAAACACAGGTAAGTGACCAAGATAATCTGACGGAAGGTGATTATCTATGTGAGTCACTTACCTGGTTAAACAGTAAAGTCCATCCTCTGGAGTGAGGTGGGATCCATCCGATGGACTGCCAGCGAGATGTGGCGGGAGCCGCCCAGATCGTCCAGGATGCAGCAGCCTCAGTGAGCAGGTAGGAGTCTGAGACAGGTCAAGGAAACAGTTCAGAACAGGACGGTTCTTAGATCCAGAAAAGAGAATTGGTCCTATCACTAATCCCTGTGGTATTTTAACCAGGCTAGTGCTGTTCCTTTAAATCAGGGGTGTCAAAGTGGTTCCAGAAAGGGCAGTGTGGCTGCAGGTTTTCTTTCCAACCAAGCAATAGCACACCAGACTCCAGTCATCTAATCAAAGGAGTCCAATCTGAACATGATGACTTGATGAGATGAATGGAGTGCTATTGCTTGGTTGGAAAGAAAATCTGCAGCCACACGGCCCTTTCTGGAACCGGTTTGACACCTGTGCTTTAAATCCTACAAAATGTTCAAGTCTTTCTAAAAGAATATTATGATCAACTTTATCAAATGCAACAGTGAGATCCAACAGGATAAGTACAGAAACAAGTCCATTATCTGAGGCCATGAGCATATCATTAGCGACTTTCACCAGAGCTGTTTCAGTGCTCTAAAGCAGACAGAAACTCTTTAAAAAGTTAAGTGGTGTAAGTGGTCACACATTTGTCTGGCAGCTACTTTTTTAAGAATTTTAGATAAGAAAGTTCAACTGGATCAAAGCAGTCTAAACCCGGTTCAGATTCTATTGCTACCTCAGATGCTGCCTCACCTTCTAGAGATAAACCAATCGTAGATAGAGGAGTGCTAATAATCTTATTTTCAATAAGATCAATCTTATTTATAAAGAATCCCATAAAATCATTGCTGCTAAGAGCAGGTGGAATGGACGGTTTAACAGAGCTATGGCTCTGGGTGAGTTTGGCAACAGTGTTAAAAAAAATATCTAGGATTATTCTTATTCTCCTCGATTAATGAGGAGAAATATGCTGCTCTTGCTTTACAAAGGGTCCTCCTATACAGCATTAAACTATGTTTCCACACTAGGTAGGATTCCTGTATGCCTGTGGAGCACGATTTTCTCTCTAGTATTTTGCTTCAGAGTGTGCAGCTCTGCATTAATCTGAATGATTTCTGATGACATCTGCAATAATGCCTACAATGTTTAATTAAGTGATTTTTGCTTTGTCTTGTGGACCACAGAAAGACTAGCTTGTTCCCTTTAGGTGACAGCTAATGGGGGTCTTTTTTAACAAACAATAAACAATTTACATTTTGAACAAAGCCAATAGCGTCTAAGATAGCATAAAAGGCTGCTCTTAAGCTATCACCTTCAATGTCAGCATGGATGTTAAAATCCCCCACTATGATGACTCTGTCAGAGAGTCATCATAGTGGGAGAGTCATCATAGTCTGTCAGAGATACTCTGAAAACTCATCTAAAAATTCAGAGTAAGAACC